TAGCAAGGGGGAACACTACTGTATAGATGTTATAAATGCTTAGGCAAGGGAGACCATTTAGCTCTTAACCCGGTTTCCTACTGCAAATATCAAAAGTTGGATCAACATATGCCCCTAGTTACAAAGATGTAACATCATTTCTAAAGTCTTTAGCAGCAAAATCCTAAAGGGCCCCTAAATTTCAGTCTTAACTTTGTTCCAGCCACATCCCAGCTGTTTCTCACAAGTACTTCATTATCTGCAGGCTGTTTTCAGTTCATTCTGGGACCAACAAGAGGCCACTAGGACAGTATATCAATAGGACAATCCTTGCCAGATAATGAAATTTGGAAATAGGCTGGGCACGGTGGTTCATACCTGTAATCCTAGCACTTTAGGAGGCTGAGGCAGGAGGATTGCTTGAGCCTAGGAGTTGAAGGCTGCAGTCAGCTATGATTACACCGCTGCACCCCAGCTTGGGTAGACAGAGGGAGACCCTGTCTCTTAAAAAAAAAAAAAAGTTTTTGGCTACTTTGTAACTGAAAGAGATCAATCCCTAGAAAGTCCTTCCTAGGGAAGCCGGGCTACCTGCCTAGCCTCTTTCTGCGTGCCTCTCTTGGGTACATGGGTTTTTCTGTTGTGCCCCTTCCCAAAGCAGGAGCTGGCATCTCCTTGCCTCCTGCAAACTTTAGTCCCATGGATCCTCTTCTTGTTTTCTGCACTGATTTTGTATCGATTCCTCTGGAGCAAACCTTGGAAGCTGCTGTCAGATATGCCAGGGCTCTCTGCCCTGTTGTGTTCTGTGTTGCTAGCTGGAGATTACCCCCTGGGTTTGTTTCAAGACGCTTGGAACCAGAATAGAGATGACACTCTCCTGTTTGTACTCTCTCTGGCTGTGATTTTTAAATCCTTGTTCTGAGCCTACTGTTTTTTTTTTTTTTTCTTCTTCTCTGCCTCACTTTTCTAGCTCATTTCCTTCTATATCTTTCACTGGCTCAGTTTGCCTGAGCCCTCTGCATTTGGCGCTAAATTGTAGTTTATTTTAATCCTTTGCCTGGAAGCTGATGCTGGTAACCAGATGGCAATAAAAAGACACTGAATGCAACATTTATACCTGTGAGTTGAGAGACAATACTCGTTACTTCTTGGGAAAACAGTTGGTGTTTTTCTCAGTTGGGGTAAAATGCTATTTCCAAAAATCCTATTGTTTTCTTACTTGGAAAAATGTTACAATATGTTTATTAGAATGTATGCTTTTAAATATTTTTTATTCTAAAGAAATATTGCTGCTTCTCAGAGTTTTGGCAAATATTGCTTTTCATTTGTTCTTCTTTTCCTGTCTCTTCTTTCTTTTCACTCTCTTACCATCTATAGATTTAAATTACATGTCATTTTATTATTCTTCACTGTATTAACTAAACTCGCTTTTTTGGTTAGTTCAAAAAGATGGATGTGTGGAGTATTTTAAATTTGGCTCTTAAAAAAAGCACAGTATATTACAGATTAGAAAGTTATTATTTTTTCTGACATCCAGCAAGCAGCACCATTTCTCTGTTCTTAAGCTATTTGACAGCTTGGGGACAGATGCGAGCCTTTGATACAAACTGGGCCAGAGTATTCTTTCCTGAGACTTTTCAAACTAAAGCTAGAAGAGAGGTGCCCCCTGTATTAGTCAGCTACTGCTGCGTAACAAAGAACCATAAAATCAGAGTCACTTAAAACAGTGAGCATTTATTTACTTCACATCTCTTCAGGTCTGCTGAGTGGGCTCCACTGATCTCAGCAGGCCTGCTCATGTGTCTTTAGGCTGGCAGTGGGTGGTTTGATTTAAGGATGTCTCTAGTCCACACTGCATGTTTGCACATCTGTTACCTATGTCTTTGCTATGGTTTGGATACTTGAGCCTTCCAAGTATCATGTTGAAATTTGATCCTCGATGTTGGAGGCAGGGCCTGGTGGGAGGTGTTTGGGTCCTGAAGGAGGATCCCTCATAAATGGCTTGGTGCCATTCTTGTGGGGATGCATGAGTTCTCGTGAGAGCTGGGTTTTGAAAAGAGCCTGGCACCTCCTCCTCTTTCTGTCTCTTGCTTCCTCTCTCACCATGTGGCTCCCCTTCACCTTCCACGATGAGTGGAAGCAGCCTGAAGCCCCCATCAAAATGAGATAGATACCAGTGCCATGCCTGTACAACCTGCAGAACTGTGACCCAAATAAACTTTTTTCCTTTATAAACTGCCCAGCCACAGGCATCTTTTTTCTTTCTTTCTTTTTTTTTTTTTTGTAGCAACGTCAAAACAGATTAAGTCAGTCTTTAACCTTTCAGCAGACTAGTTGGGGAATATTCCACAAGAGAGCAAGTGAGAACCTGCAAGGACACATAGACCTAGGCGTGAAGGGTCATATTATGACTTCTACTCTTATGCCATTGGCCAAAGTAAGTCAAATGAACAAGCACAAACTCAAGGCACAGGCGTACATCACCCGCTAGGAGGCCATGCTAAGGGTGTGGATACGTGGAAGGGTGAAGAACTGGACCAGTCTTTCAATACCACAGCCCCTTTCTTCTCCGGGCATGGAGCTGCTAGGAGTAAGCCCCACATGCAGACATCTGTCTCTGGTAGGAGAAGACAAAGCCAAGATCTAGAGAGATGCAGTGGAAGACAGGATGGGAGAGGGTCCCGATCATTTTCTAGTTATTAATAACATCTTTGGCTGTGCTTAGACGGCTGCACTTGGGAGGTTTGGTTAATCATCTTTTTTTTGTTTGTTTGTTTACTATGAGGTAGGCTACTCCACGACCCCTCCAAACTCTTCTTTCTTGCATTAATTAGTATAAATTGCATTTCTGCTACTTGCAACCAAAGGGTTATGACCCATCTATACTATTTTTTCTAGATCAGAGGGTTTTTATATCAAAAGTCGCTGTCCCTATCCCAATGCAAAGCTTTTTAAGTTGATTTTTAGGAGGATAAAATCTTTCATATTGGAAATAAACATTATCACCTATATTTCACAGGTTATTAGTTTATTAAGTCAAACAGAACGACATAGTTTCAAATAAAAGTGTTACTGAATTTGCAGTAAAAATTACACATAATTAGCGTAAATTAGAAAAGGTATATAAAATGGTTGGCACAAGGCAATAACATCCCTACTTTTAACCCATGAATTTTATCCCTAGGAATTTACCTCAATAAAGTATTCTAACAGATGCAAATGCTCATATGCATGAAACAATTTATGACAACTGTCATAATAATAAATTAAAGGGACATATCTAAATTAAGAGAATGCTTTAACAAATTATGTTAGTTTATCAGGATGGAATATTATGTAGTCTTTAACTATGTTAATTATAGTTAATTAAGAAAATTATATAAAATTTCAAAATTCGTTTATGACATAGTACGTGAAAAAGCAAAACAAAATGCAAAATTACATGGACATCCAAACTATGTATATGTGGTCACTCTCACTTTATACATGCAAACACACACAACACACACAAACCCACACAACCATTTTCTTTTTGTATGCAGTAGACCAAAAAAAAAAAAAAAATTCAAATCTACCTGTCATTTTCTCTTGTTCAGCTAGGAGACATGCATCATCTTTGATTAAAATTATTCTTCACTGGGTTATTTATGCAAAGCCAAAATTCTATTCTAGACTCAAGAAGCTCGAGCCAGACATCCTGAACAGCTCTGAATAAAATTATCAAAGGCTGAATTTGTCATGTGCAGAATTGCATCTTTGCAGGATTATGATGCTGTTGCCTGTGGGTGAGGATGTGATGGATAACACCCTTCTTGCAGTGAGGATAAGGGGAGTTGGAGAAGGTAACCTGGGGACTGGTGGCTCATGGTAATTGATGGACTAGGGGAGGCCACATAAAGAGGAAGCCAGTGGAGAGGCATGGCTGATGGACTCAACTCCAAGAGCAGTGATAGTTCATATCCAGTACTGTATCTTTCTTCCTCTCCAATATAATTCCCTCATTATTCTCAAGCCTCCAGGAAATTGTCTTAAATGTTTATCCAGATATTTGCTATACTTTTGGAAATTAAGGGAGGAGCCTGCAACTCTCCTTGCATAAAACAAGAGTCTGTCTTGCGTGAAAAAGTGATAAGAAGATATTCAGTAGAGATCTGAGGGGAAATCTCGGAGCAGAGGTCCAGAATAAGTTAAGTGTGGACTGCATAAGAATTCCATTGGTATGGGAGACTGTATTTCTGTTTGCCAAATATTTTACTTTTCCTCCATCTTTTGCCGTGGAAGGATTTTACTCTTCAACTCTGCTAGACTCAAGAGAGGCCATGCAATTTGCTGTGGCTGATGAAATGGGAGCAGCAAAAACGTGTGTCATTTCTGGGAACCAGTGCACTGTTCTCTTTGTCTCCCTTCTCTCACCCTGGGCCTGCTAATGTTCCAGCTGGATGCTGCTCTATCATCGTGGAACCTAGAATGAAGTTTGGGGAAAGTATCAAAGCCAGAGCCAACTTTCATTCAACATGTTATGTGAGTGTGATGGTTAATTTTATGTGTCAACTTGACTGGATCATGGAGTGGCCAGATATTTGGCTAAGCTTTTCTAGGTGTCTGTGATGGTGTTTCCAGATGAGATTTGCATTTGAGTCAGTGGACTCCATAAGATAGATTGTTCTTCCCTGAATGGAAGGGTATTAGCCAATTTGTTGAGAGCCTGAACAGAACAAAAGGTGGAGAAAGGAGAATTCATCTCCTCTGCCTGACTGTTTGAGCTGGGATATCAGTCTCCTTCTGCCCTCAAACTGAGACTTAACACCATCAGCTCCACTTGTTCTCAGGCCTCGGGTCTGAAACCAAACTACACCATCAGCTTTCCTGGTTCTGCAGCTTGCAGATGGCAGAGGATGGGACTTAGCCTTGGTAATCAAGTGAGCTAATTCCTCAGAATACATCCATCTGTGTTAGTCCGTTCTCACACTGCTATGAAGAAATACCCGAGACGAGGTAATTTATAAAGGAAAGAGGTTTAATTGACTCACAGTTCTGCATGGCTGGGGAGGCCACAGGAAACTTACAGTCATGGTGGAAGGTAAAGGGGAAGCAGGCACCTTCTTCACAAGGGCGGCAGGATAGAGTGAGTGCAAGCTGGGGAAATGCCAGATGCTTATAAAACCATCAGATATCATGAGAACTCACTATCACAAGAACAGCATGGGGGAACTGCACCCGTGATCCAATTACCTCCACCTGGTCCTGACCTTGACACATGGGGATTGTGGTGATTACAGTTCCAGGTGGGATTTGGGTGGGAACACAGAGCCAAACCATATCACTATCTCTCCCCCTTACCCCCCTCTCTCTGCTAAATCCTTTATTGGTTCTATTTCTCTGGAAAACCCTAAATACAGTGGGAAAGAAGTAAACCTTTGTGTTGTAAGCCGCTGAGACTTTGGGGTTATTTGTTACTATAGCATGATCTGGCCTATTCTAATTTATACAATGGGATTTTTTTTTTTTTTTTCTACAAACACTAAGGAAGTAGCAGGTGGAAGGCTGGACCTTATGTTGCCATCAGTAGGGGGGTTTCTATAGTCTGAAAACCTATGAGCCTTTTGGGTTACTCTTTGACTTGCACTTGGGCTTTGATGTTGATGCCAAGCAGTATATTTATACTCCTCTAAAATGTGTTTTTCTCTCTATAAATGGTATTTTGTTAACTTTCACCAGCTCCAGTCTCAACTTTTGCCTCTAATTTTTCCCATAATATTCACTAACTCTAGTGATAGCTGTCTATGCACATTGTACTGAGACTAATTCAGAGAGTGTGTTGGATGAATTTTGATTTTATTTGTATGTAACTGTCAAAAACTGTATTTGAGGAAACAGTTGCACCCTTGGCAAAACCTGGAAGTCTCTATGTTAACAGTTTTCTCAATTTTTATTTTAGGAAGCCATTCTGCATATTATGTTTTTAAATAAAACGATTTGACTTTAGGCTGACAATTTAGCATTTAACCGCTGTCTCCGTGCCAATTGCACAAGAGCAGGGATCTAGATTAATTAGAAAAAGCTCACTGGTTTCTGATGGAGGGGGCATTCATAGAAACAACCCACTGACAACTAAGGAACTACTGCGATGGGATGGGCAGCCTGCAGCTTCACTCGGCGGGCAGCCTCCACAGGTACTTTAATTCCTCGCTCTTCTGGCCAGGTGTCTCTTGGTAAAGGCAGGTAGAGGAAGCAAAGCAATTACCTAGATAATTAAGGAAAAACAAACCTGTATGTGGCAATCAAGGAAAAACAAACCTGTCTGTGGCAGGTAACTTGGGGAGCTGCTTCTAATTTTCTAGGCAACTATTTTCATTCTTCACTTCCCTGGTGTCAGCAGGAATCTGAGCTAGATCCCAAGAGCAACTTGAACAATGACAATGGTCTCAGTTGGCAAACCCGGCCTCATAGGAGCTTCCCTCCTCATTGATCTAGAGTTTGAAATAGCTTTGTCAGATCTCAGGGGCGTGCTCCTACTGATTTACAGCAAAATCCCAATAACGGCTGTGAAAATGTTTATCCATTTGTGAAACTTCAGAAAGCGGGTCTAGCATATCATTCTTGCCTGGTGATTCTGGGGCAAGGTGAGAACTGTACCCTCACAGGCCGGGTGAGTAAGATTCTAGTTGTGGTGGAGGCCAAGGAAGAAGACGTACTATGTGTCAATCTCTCTAGGAGGCATTTGCTGTACCTTCCCCTCCTACACCTTCCTACAAGGCAGCTCCGACGACTTCTACTTTACAGATGAGAAGATGGAGCCTCCACAAGGCACACAGCTGGTGAGTGACAAAATCAGAATTCAAACCCAGGTCCATTTGATTGTGACATTTGTTTCCACTACCCTAGTGGCTCTGGGAGAAGGCAGGACACCTATATTTCTCTAAAGTCCCATAGTTGTTTCTAGTGTCATCCGGGTTGGAAGCTGTATGTTAAGTCGGTGTTTCTCAGACTTTAGCATGTGTTAATATTTCCTGTTAGGCTTGTAAAAACACAGACTGCAGGCCCCACACTTAGATTTTGGACTTGGTAGGTAGGTCTGAGTTGGGACCCAGGAATTTGCATTTCTAACAAGTTCTGAAGTGATGCTGATGTAGGGGGCCTGGGCACTACACTGTGGGAACCACCACTGCTGCATTAAGGTGAACTCAGCTGAATCTGATGTGCAAATCTACGTTAATGGAGATGACATCAGATATCTGCAAAGTCACTTAATAGAGAATGGTTGAGACTAAGTCTTGAATAATATTAAAACTAACACATCTGAAAAGACTATGTCCATCATAGGTGGATGGTCAGAATAGAAGCATTACATAATGGGGTAGAAAATGTAGCTGATGCTATTCATCTGGAAGGAAGAAGTCATCTGGAAGGAAGAAGTGATGTAAGGGTCAGTTTTCACCTTTGCTTTGAATTCCCTGGACAGCAAGCAATCATATGAGCATTAATTTGATTTATTTTTTCAGGTATCATGTCTGATTTCAGATACATACGATGGTCTCAAGTGTGTTTTTCACGACCACCACTTCGTAGTCCTGTTGATGCCGCTGCTGTTGAAGTCTATGTGAATGGTGCCCCCTGGTGGAATGGAAAAGGTAGTGTATTACAGTCCGTTGTAAATGAATGACCTAGGGTTGTAATCATGCTCAGCTGGTAGAGACCACTCCACTCACCTTAAACTAGCGAGCCTGAGGACCAGTCCTGGGGAACCATGAGAGCGTGATCTCCGAGAGCCCTGCCCTTGAGAAGGGTTCTCCTCAGCAATACTCCACCTGACCCCAGACCTAAAATTCTTAAATTGTGAAAACGGTAGAAGATGGTTAGCAAATCCATATGCTATCATGATATATATCTTCTTAGTTGCATGGGATGAAATGATGCCAAGATTTGACTTACAGAGTAGGGATTGTGACTGAAGCCTTTGGACAGGTATTTAGGCCCTTTTTAGTGTCCCTTCTAGTCTAGAGAATGGGACACCAGGAATGTCAGATGCTTTTCAGCCTCTCCCCCGCTCTCACGCCTAGAAACAAGAGCCCCACAAAGGTCTGTCATTCCTCAGGGCTGACGAAAAGCCCTGCGGCTCAATGGCCAGAGCATGTCTTTGTGGCTGTCTTTGTGGCCAAGTAAGAAGTCTGTTGGTTTGAACTCTTTGGTCTAGAGACAGATTCTTCTACCAGTGGTGTAAAACCCTAAAGAGGCTCTGCATAAGACCTACCAATGCCCTGTGTCTCATGACATCCTGCCCCCACCACTGGAAGGCCACACTTATCCTTTGTGTTCCTGCTTCTCTGTGATCTGCAAGTTTCCCAACAACACCTGGATTCGAAGCTCAAGTCCACCACTTAATAGCTATGGACCTAACGTATCAGATGTTATAAGGATTACAGAGAAAGTGGTATAGATAGAGCTGGTAGCAGTGACTGACACATCTTTACATAATTCTGACATGCATTATTATTGTAGTTTTCTGTTATTCAGACATACTTGTTAAGAAGGCGCTGGGGACAATTTGTACATGCTGGGTATAAAAGGGCTTGGAAAGTATTTCACGAATGGAGTTAGCATTGAGGAGTCCAATCCATGTACAATGGGTAGAATTAGAGAGGCACTGAGGGTAGTTTATTAGTCTGTTTTCAAACTGCTGATAAAGACATACCTGAGAGTGGGTAATTTATAAAGAAAGAAGAGGTTTAATGGACTCGCGGTTCCATGAGGTTGGGGAGGCTTCACAATCATGGCAGAAGGTGAAAGGCACATCTTACATGGCAGCAGGCAAGAAAGAATGAGAGACAAGCAAAAGGGGAAACCCCTTATGAAACTCTCAGATCTTGTGAGACTTACTCACTACTATGAGAACAGTATGGAGGAAACTGCTTCTTTGATTCAATTATCTTCCACCAGGTCCCTCCCACAACACATGGGAATTATAGGAGCTACAATTCAAGATGAGATTTGGGTGGGGACACAGCCAAACCATATCAGGTGGTTACATAAGAGAGTCAGTAGAGAGGTATGAACTCTGGAGGAGATAACTCACCTGGAAAGTAGGCAATCAGGAATATAAGATCCCAGTAAAATTAAAAAAAAAAAAAAAGGGGGGGGGCTGTGGGTATGGGAGGCGTATCTCAGAGAGAAGAAACACTACTGTTCCTGCCTGTGAAACCCAAGATTTCCCCTTCCTCTTAAGGGTTCTCTCCCTCTGATGAGAGTTGTTTACACTGCTGACTAGAAACTATTAAGGTTTAGAAATCAATTTGTGTGGGTTGTGGCCAGCATTTAAAAAACAGAACAGAATATGAAACATCAGTGTGCATTGCACATAGTGAGTAAATATTACTTTATGAAACTTTCATCAGTTACACATGTACGTGTGTATAGGGGTATGATGTAAAGTGTGTTATTCCTTTGGGTCTTGGTACAAGGAGTTGAGAGCTGCGTCTCTAGTGAATTCACTGGGGTGGGGAGCAGGATGGGGAGTTTTCTTATGTCTGCTCTTGCGAGGTCCTCTTGACTATTTACTTTCCAGGATAGTTTTCCCCATCGGCCTTTTCTGAGGGTCTGAGTCAGTTTGGGCTGCTGTAACAAAGTACCGTAGACTGCGTGGCTTAGAAATTACAGACATTTATTTCTCACAGTTCCAAGATTAGGATGTCAGCATGGTCGGGTGCTGATGAGGACCCTCTTCCGGGTCATAGCCTGCCGTCTTCTTGTATCCTCAGAAAGAGAGAAGAGCCGGGTGTGGTGGCTCATGCCTGTAATCCCAGCACTTTGGGAGGCTGAGGCGAGTGGATCACTTGAGTTCAGGAGTTCAAGGCCAGGCTGGCCAACCTGGCGAAACCCCGTATCTACTAAAAAATACAAAAAATTTGCTGGGCATGGTGGCGTGTGCCTCTAATCCCAATTACTTGGGAGGCTGAGGCAGGAGAATCATTTGAACCCGGGAGGTAGAAGTTGTGGTGAGCCAAGATCATGCCATTGCACTCCAGCCTGGGCAACAGAGTGAGACTTGGTCTCAACAAAAGAAAGAAAAAGGAAGGATGGAAGGAAGGAAGGAAGAAGGAAGGGAGGGAGGGAAGGAGGGAGGGAGGGAGGGAGGGAGGAAGGAAGGAAGAAAGGAAGGAAGGAAGGAAACTCTCTGGGGACTCCTTTATAAGGTCACTAATCCCATCAGAAGGGATCCACCCTCATGACCCGATTACCTATCGAGGTTCCATTTTCCAGAACCAGGCAGGGCATTTTGGTATATAATGAATGCATTTCCATTAAATAGAAGTAACTTGAAAAAAATTCATATTACATTTACTGTCAGTAAGAGTTTAGTTGCAGAAACCCCAGAATTTATTGGATTTCTAACTATTTTTTTTAAAAAAGTATTTTAAAACTGTATCTATATTATTTGGCTGTTTTAGTAAATAACTCACCATACTTGTGTGCAAGTGCAAATTCTTGAAGTTTTTTATTTTTTCAAATGGAATCTGTTAATTTACCATCATAGAAATAGGATTCCCTATTATAAAAAATTCAGCTGGTAAAAACATGTACATTCAATGCACCTTCAGGTTTTTTTTTTTTTTTTTTTTTTTTTTTTTAAGAAGTAGAAGTTACTGTGGAAGGCTGGGCACAGGCAGATCATTTGAGGTCAGGAGTTCGAGACCAGCCTGGCCAACATGGTGAAACCCCGTCTGTACTAAAAATACAAAAAAATTAGCCAGGCATGGTGGTGTGCATATGTAATCCTAGCTACTCCGAAGGCTGAGGCAGGAGAATTGCTTGAGCCTGGGAGGTGGAGGTTGCAGTGAGCAGAGATCATGCCACTGCACTCCAGCCTGGGTGACAGAGTGAGACTCTGTCAAAAAAAAATAAATAAATAAATTTTAAAAATAATAATAAATAAATAAATAAATAAATAGAGAAGTTACTGTGGAAGGGTGCAGGGGCCTGTTACCATAAGAAGTGGTAAAGACAGTGTCTCTGCCCTGAGCACCATCCAGAAATACCCCCTAAACCTCTGTCGCCATGACGTTTTGAACGGGCCATGGGGGTAACACTCACATTATCAGTGGGGATGGCCTCTTGTTGAGGTTGCCAGAATCAATGCCCTTCTTTATCCTCTTGGTCCTGTTCTCTGCACAGCCTTCCTTTCCTGATGCTCCCCAAGCATCCCTGATGCTCTGACCACTGCGTTGATGTATCTGTTTCCCTGGCTAAAGGCCCCAGTGATTCTCCCTGTAGTCCACTTAGGTGACTAACATGGAGGTGTGACTCTGACATTCATAGCTCCCTTGTGGCTCTAACTTATCAGGAAAAGAGTAGCCTCTTCTCATCAGGGCTACTTTTGCTTTGATTCCATCTTTCAGGTTCTCATGACTTCCCAATTCAGACAAAGCTTGGCACAAGTTACCCAGTGCCTAGACAGGAAGAAAACATCAGCCTACCTGAAAAACTACTATATCCCAAATCATTTATTCTTGGCAACCACTGGTTGTGGTGGGCGGGGGGGTCGCCCTGACTCTCTCACTTTAGAGTGAGGTGACATTCAAAATTCGTATTTAATAACCGGTTGTCTTGGGTGCCTAATCAAATCAGTGACTGACCAATCAGTATGGCCAAACCATTGCGTACTGGCTCAATATCAGATTGGGCGGGAGCCCAAACAGACAGGTCTCTGGGCCATGTTTCCAGTAGATTAGTTTTGTTTGCTATGCAGGGTAATCTTGAAATATGGTATGTGTTTGAGTGCCTTTAGGCTAAACAGCCATTCTTCAATTACCAGTCTCCTGTCTTGTTCCCTGTCCTAGAGTTGGCTGGCTTTACTCATTTATGTTACCCTGGGTTGCTAAAAAGCATCTGCTTGTGCTAGGCTGCTCTAAACCTTTCCTTGTGGCCTGGTCTCTATCCGGCAGCTGACAGCTCCAATTTGTTTCTTACCACGTCCTCTCAGCTTGTCTCCATGTGTGTAGGCCTTCATACAAAAGGAATTATGTAAAGCCCCCCAGTCGTGGGGCCTAAATTTCCATAGAGGTAGCCTCCCTATTCTGAATCTGAATTATACCAATATTTCTGTGGCACATTAAATGATAATTGATTTGGAAATGAGAGACTGCATATACAAAGACAATGGCCAGACCGTATATGAAAATAGAACAGCTTACACCTACCCACCCAGAAAACCAACTCCTTGTTTCTAACAAACAGCCCAGGAAACCAGCCTGCTTTAAGTCAGACTTGGAGGGGGTCAGATGCTATCTCAGGCAACGGTCTAGGAATTAGCAATCACTTCTGGAACAATTGGTCTAAAACGGCCAGGACTTGAAGAATGACTGACAGCTTCGCTAATTTTTGTCCCCTCTTCCAACTTAGGACCAACCAGAGAAAGGCAAATATGCAACAGGATACCAGTTTCTAGCTAGGCGGCCCACAGCTTCGCCATGCCAGCTGCCTGCAATCAGGGCACACGGGAAGCCTTCCCCTTTTTCCACTGTAAGGCTTTTCCACTCTGCCTGCCTTTGAGTTCTTGGCCAAAATGCAACTGATGGTGGCCGACTCCCTTGTTATAGCAAGCCCTGAATAAGTAGACTTTTCTTTTTTCCTTTGG